GCTTGCAAGAACAGAACTGCTGAGCTTAAAAGCAGACAAAGATGTAATCTAACGAGTTCAATATGAGCATTATTTATTTATCCTACGAACACATGGTCTTCAGTTCTGTATACGCGAGGATTTACAGAGAATCGATGGATGTTTTTGATTCTTGTTGTAGGTTCGTGTTGTGGGGCTTACAGAACCTGGAAGCCCTATGATGACGCATCGTTCGATGGAACTGAGAGCTTTAGAACAGCAAAGATTCAGGTAAATAAATTTAGCAACTTTATTACACGTGTATCGTTTAAAACTTTGTTTGGATTCACGCGATCTTTTTTTGTTTGCTTCCGACAAGCGAAGCTTTGTTCAAGAAAGTTATTCTCAGACATATGAGACAGGAATTTTCTTTGAACAATTTGGACTTAGCATAACGTTTATGCAAGATAGCTAGCTTTGGATGAGTTTTTTTTGCTTTTTGCTTTACTTTGGTAGTGAAAATTGTCAAGGTGTCCGCCACTCAGATCTAAGCTTAACTATGTACTTGCTGGGCATTGGTTTGAACAAGGTTTAGATATGCTAAATATATATGTAAGCTTAGATCTCAGTTGTTAGTGAAATAAGCTTACAACAACGGTCCAATTTACATCTTAGGGTGTGTTTTCTTGAAGTGATCCGGATCAGGATTTATGATCCAAGATTACTTGCTTTACTATTCAATATATTATAGTGCATCAAAAGAATTGCTGAATCTGCTCTTTGTGCAAGAATGCACCAGCTGCTTTGATGCACTATGATTAAATAAACAATACGTAATTAAATAATAATAAATTAAATAAATAATAAATTAAATAAATACTAATACTGATATCCATTTCTTCTCTGGATAACAGTGAAAATGACTTAGCAGGGAGTAAAGATAAAATTAGGTAAGCAAATAATTATTTATTAATAATAATTTTTTGATACAGCATTAACATATTGTCGTGGTAGACTAAAATTTAAAGTTTAGTCAGCAGCATGTGCTAGTTGTAACAATAGTAGGATGGGTGGATGGGAGCAACATTGATCCAAGCAATTGCTGAAAATTGCAGCTTTGTCATTATTATAAATTGAGTGTCCATCAATCAATCAAGGTATGGAAACCTGATTGACATTTTGGAGATAAGGAATTTGCTCTAGGAACAATATGAGTCGAAGGCAAGTGTTTTGCAAAACGTTGGTCTCAAACTTTGATGAGTCCACAACTTGGTGAAAACCTAAGGAAAAATGTTTCAAGAAAAGAAAGGAAGATCACTCGATTATTTTGATTGTGTAATGTAAATAATTTTGTCTTTGTTTGTGGTATTGCTAACTCTGTGGTTCTACAGATTTTTAGAATAAATCTACCAGCATTCTATCATGAATGCCATTCTCTGATTGGCTACGCTACCGGTACTTACTATCTATACTGTGAAAGATAGTGAGTAGCGTAGCAGTGTGCCCTTGTCAACAAAATGACGGCCACTTCTTGGCATTTTCGAAGTGTCTGTGAAGAAGATTTAGATAAAATTTTGAACAACTAGTAGATTTATGCTAAAACAATTAGATTATTCCCTCCTGATTTCTATCACATGATAGTTAACGAGGGTGCCTTGAGCTGCGCCCTTGTCAACCATCAAGCGATAGAAATGTCGAGCATACAATCTAGTAATTATTGTTTAATAGAAGTTCAGCTTTTGCCATGCACTCTCTTGTAGGATGTTTTCTAAATGTAGGTGTTTTCTGGAATATTATTTTGCCTAGAATTTTGTTTAATGTACCCTTTGTCACCAGAGATGTTGTGAATTTGTGGAGAGGTTCCAATCCTGATTATAATGCCAACAAAACAGCAGCAGATGTTGCCTTGGCCTTGAAGCAGTTTAAACAGATTGCACAGCAGCCTCAAAACACTGCCTCCTCCAGAGCACGGTATATGATGTTTGTTGTGCTATTTATGTTGAGTGAGATTTAATTTATACATAATATCAGCAACTATAATACATATCTCTTTCATTTTTCTCTTTTCTCTATTTATCGTTGTTTAAAACTAGTTTCATTTTTTAAGTTTTCATTGACATCTGACAAATTTTAAACCACAATAAATGTAAACCACAAGCTGCCAGTGTTTCTAATAATGTCACAGCTGACCTCCCCGAAAGAAAAAAATCTGATTTATAAACACATCTTTCCCATTTTTTCTTTTGGGAAGGTTGGTGGTAACACAAACTACAGAAAAGGTTTGACTGAAATTAATGCCAAGTTCCACTTTGAAAATTGCTACTAAAACCACCCACTTTAGGGACTAAATCAGTGTAATTGTGAAACAAATTTTGAATCTATAGTGGAAAACATAGAAAGAGGTTCAGGGAATCTGGCTGTTTTAATATGCTTTTTTATGCGAAATCTCTTTAAAAGAGGTTTAGCATAAAACTCTTCTTCTCACACACTACTGGGAGCCAGAGACTATGGTGTACAAATCACATGACCTTTATTAGCCTCAGGCCCTAACGGTGTGTAAGAAAGACGTTTTCCTTGGTCATGGTGGTGGACAAATGTCATTGGGATGCTGATATAATGCAATGAATTATCTGTGTTTTACAACTGAAGTTTGACAAAGCACTGCACTGTCCTTTTACAAATGTGTTGCTGTTCCCCCCTCCCCCAACCAATTCAGTTATGAAACTCAAGAGAAATTACAAGTACAATACTAGACAGTGTTCAACATTGTAGGCGGGGTGTCAGGTGGAAGGGCTGGGTAAGTGAAGTCGTATTCGTACAGGACTGTTTGATAGGCCGGGTGGGCATGAAAAAGTGCTAAAAGTGCAAATTTCTCCCAAGATGTTTGTCCTTGATTGTAAATGTCTACTTCTGTTTATTTGTAGTTTTCGACATGCTGCATTACGTAGTATAACAAGACAAAAACAGGTCGCCAAAGAACCTGATAAAGATCATGAACAGCAATTGAATCTTCTCACAAAGTCACTCTGTGGATCAAGAATATTTGGTGCAGGTTTTTATTGCAGAAGATTATTTTTCTTGTATAATTAATGTATATATATAGATACACATCCCAATCCTCGCATGTATGATTATATATATTAATAAGGATCTATCCTGTGTGCTGCTTTGAAAACAAATATATTAGGAGGTATTGTGCGTCAAACCTTTACAAGAATGTAGTTGCCAGAGGATTTGCTAATAAAAACAATTCAGTCAGCCTTCTGGGCGATTATTTACTTTTGGTACACTGTAGCTCAAGATGGATTGATATTTGGAGAGGGGGCTAATAATTATGTCATCATCAGAATAGTATGTATCACTTTATGTACAGCAACATATACTGTAACTTAAAGACTGTTTGGATGTGGAAACAGACTAAAGTATATATTATTGTTATAAGCCGCCTAATCAGTCTATTCCAAGTCAGTGTTTTGAATACCTATTTTTACAAGGGGGGGAGGGGACTTACTAGAAAGGCATGCCTTTTGAAATGAAGGCACTTACAAACAAAACAACACTTACATGTATTATAGAAGAGTGCTTATTTGAAAGGTGGGGCTTACCAGAAGGAGGGAGTTAAAGCAAATCATAACTTACAGTACGTGGTCATTTATTGTTTAAAACTGTTTCACTATATTTGAATTAACTCACAGACAAGTTTTCTGTCAACAGATGATAAAGCCTTCAGCTTCAGTGCAGCTTCATATTCTGTTGTAAAAAGTGCTAAAAAGCTTACTGTAGAGGTGCAACTCAACCAAAGGATATCCAGGTTTGTGTAACATTTGGGCATTTTCAGTTCAAGCCAAAAATTCTGGAAAATTCTGGAACATTCTGCTCTATTTCACACAGGAAATTGAAATTTTTGGTCTAATGGAAAGTACTGCAGTCTGTTTCTGTGTCATTATAGTATGTTAAAAATTGTAGCACCAATAGATTGTAATGTCAAAAAAATGTTTCACTGTGACTGGTCTAGTTGAGTGGGTATGACATTCACCTGATATCATAAAAATAAATATTCTTACTTGTAAAAGAATAGGATACGAGCTTCATCACAGGAAGGTTTCCAGCAATATTCACAGCCACAAACAGATGCATGTGATACATCCTTTGGTGGCCTGCTTAGGGATTTATGGTTCTGTGCTACTTGTAACTCTCTGGACTTTCCCAAAAAACATTCAGTCACCTTAAAAGAAATCACCGCTATTGCTGTTAACTGTAACGATATGGTCTACATCTCTGCAATCCTAACAGATCTGTTTTCATTGTCAGTGATAGTCAAGCTGTCATTCATATCCTTCATTCTGGCACTAGCAAATAATAATAAATAATAAATAATAATAATAATGTTGCTAATTAATACGCTTTTTTCTACATCTGTTGCAAATGTAATATTAATAGTTAAAACCTCATTGGGGCTTTAAAAAGCTGCAGTGAGGTTTTAGGCACATAATCTTTTGCTTGTTAATAACCAAGTTACTAAGAGAAGGAAAAAATGTTTAATTTTAACAGATCACCATGTGTTTCCCGTAAAGCAGTGAACCCAGCATCGCCTTATGATCCAACAACGCCCATTAATGCAGTGAAGTGGGGACAGTTTACCATCCCAATTATTAAAACTGATCATGTGGTTTGTATCGAGTCATTTTCAAGAGGTGTTAACAACTATTACAAAAATGAACAGTGTAAACCAGCTCGTGGAAAACATACATGTATCTGAGAGCTGTTGTAGGAACCTTAAACCTTTCATTATGACTGGCAACTGCAGGGAATATCATCTGCAATTCAGATGAACAAAAACTGCCCTGCTGGAGGCCAGTTTGAAATTATGGCCAGCCTACACAATGTATGTGTAGCCATACTCACCCCCTGAGGAAAAATGGGAGGGAAAACTGCTTCTCGTAAGTGGGTGGGTGTGGCTAAACGTAGGCTAAAATATGGTTTGCACAAGCTTGCTTTTGAGTTAATAACAGCCTTACTACAGACTGTCCTCTTTGATTTAGACACCAAAAGGCAGAGCCAAGTGTCCTTATTGTGTATGTGTCTCTGTGTTAGGGATAGAGATTATTACAAAATAAATATGAATTCTTAGACTAGTGTTTTAGGACTTGTCAAGCAGACTCTTTGTAACTTACATATAATCAGAATGTCCATATTGCCAAGGTGTCTTTAGGGAGAAGTTTGAGTGTGCATTTGCCTTTGAAAAACCCAATTGCTACTGTACGGGACTCAGGTTATTATGTATGATTTAATAATTATTTGTTGAAATTTTATAGGAAAGCAATGGAGTACCATTATCACGTCCAAAACTTCCTGGGAACATGCCACTAAGAGAAAGCATTAACAATGTGCAGGACACACCCTCTGAAAGCAACAGTGAGCTTCAAGTTGGGGAAGATACTACTCAGTCTTGTACTGCTGTGTTTTGTGTTGATTACGAGACTCGTGACGGCAGCGCAAAAAATGGAAAAGATTATCACAGTTTAAAAGGCACACTGGTGAGTGATGCCATCTCCAAATTAAACTTACCAGTGGTATTTCTCAATGTTGTGACAAGAGAATGTAGTCGTTCCTTTGTAAAGGACTGAAATATTGTCTGAGGTAATTTTAGCCTAACTGAAAATTGGATCAAGATTTTTTTATTTCTTATTTTCATTGGTACTGTACACTGTAGTTTAGACCGTCAGGTGTTTGGTTTGAACCAGCTTGATTTACTGTTTAGCTTGCTTCATATCCATCGTTGAGTATCAAATGTCTGGAGAGACAATTATCAACTTCAAGATGATTTTTTTAGTGCTGTGGGTTGGTCAAATGATCTCATTAAGGGCTACAGCACTTGCTGTTGCTGTATACATGTTGGCCACTTCTGGTCGAGTGGTAGGATTTGTTGCAGTTGCTGCAAGTGAATCTTGACTTCAGAGGCAGACTCCATACATATTCATAATGCCATTATAGCATAAATTTACAAGGTACATACAATGGAAATCAAAATTCTGGGTTTGCAAAATTTTCAACCAAATCAAATGTAAGCCATAGCATGTAGAAAGGTACTTCATCTGTGGTTAGGCCAAAGTGTCAGTGACAGTGCTGGAACTTATGCCAGTTTCAGATTGTNCACCCTCTGAAAGCAACAGTGAGCTTCAAGTTGGGGAAGATACTACTCAGTCTTGTACTGCTGTGTTTTGCGTTGATTATGAGACTCGCGACGGCAGTGCAAAAAATGGAAAAGATTATCACAGTTTAAAAGGCACATTGGTGAGTGACGCCATCTCCAAATTAAACTTACCAGTGGTATTTCTCAATGTTGTGACAACAGAAATTAGTTGTTCCTTTGTGAAGGACTGAAATATTGTCTGCAGTAATTTTAGCCTAACTGAAAATTGGATCAAGACTTTTTTTATTTCTTACTTTCTTTGGTTGTAAACTATAGTTTAGACTGGTGTTTGGTTTGAACCAGCTTGCATATTCATAATAAACAAGGTACGTACAATGGAAATCAAAATTCTGGTTTGCAAAATTTTCTACCAAATCAAATGTAAGCCATAGCATGTAGAAAGGTACTTCATCTGTGGTTGGGCCAAAGTGTCAGTGACACTGTGGGAACTTATGCCAGTTTCAGATTGTTGAGTTTAACTGAATGGTTGTCACAAGTTTTTCCCCAGCATTTTGTCCAGTGATTTTTACAAGTTCCTGGTGCCCATTTCATACTCTAGGTAGTAGAGAAATTGTGAGTAGTTAGTGTCTTAATTGTCATTAAAAGCACAACTAACTGTTTTATATTTTTCAGTCATTTAAACCAGGAGATATCAAGAAGACACTAACAATAACCATAATTCATCACGATGGATACGCACTGGACAAGGACTTCTATGTGATATTGAAAAATCCTGTGGGAAGTGCTGAACTGGGAGAACCTAATCTGACTCGGATCACAATTATTGACGATGATGGTAATTAATGACCATTAATAATTTTCTGATAATATTTGATGCAAGCCTGAAAGTAGATGTCATATCTTTAAAGATCACAGTTCACTGACTGGTTTGCATTTTTTTTTTTCAGAGCCTGGGGAATTTTCCTTTGAACAAGCAAGTTATCATGCTAATATTATAACAGGAGAAGTTACCTGTAACATTATCAGAAGGAAGGGCTGCGATGGTATGGTGACTTTGACCTACAACACAATGTGAGTAAATACGCTGACAATTAAATCTTCAGTCATGTTTGTTTTTGTATTGACAGAAAACAGAGACAACAAACAAAAACAAAACAGCAACACAACAAAAACCACGAACAAGTACAAACCTTTTGTTCCGTACTCTAATAGAAACTTAAATGACAGATTGAGTATGGTTTTGAGTTTACATGTAAGCTCTTCATTTGGAGTAACAAGTAATGAAATCAAATTTGCAACAGAAAAGCTCATGAATTCAGCCTTAGACAGATTGTGCTTAGTATTTGAAAGTAAAAGAATGTGCTAGAGGGAATGTGGGATTAATCATTGCTCTTAGTAATGTTAAGGAATAGTAATTGGACCGAGCGGAGTACAATTCAGAGAGTAATCGCACAACTAATTTCAAAATTGGACAAGCACGCAGTGTCAAGCCGTTTGAAATTATGAGCACAATTACTCCTTGAATTGTACAACACGAGGCCCAATTACTAGTTAATTGAATCCAGGTTTAACAAATTAACTTTAAAAAACTCTTGGTAACATTAAGAAGGAAGCCATTAAAGCTCTCATAATTGACATGTGAATGGTGTAGGTGTCCAATTACAAAAAAATTAAAATTGGATACCTATTGGACACCCATGTGATTGTGCACTGATTCCTTGACAAATAGGTGCACAGAGGAACCAATCACAATTGAGAATTTTATCATACACAATTAGGGTAATGATGGTGTATGATATAATTTTTAGGAATGGTACAGGAACCGGTGGCACTCAAGAAGATCTAGAACAGAAGAAGTGCGACTATGAACAGGCAACGAATGAGAAGCTGTATTTTCAGCATGGAGAAACGTCAAAACTACTCATAATAAGAGTTAACCCTGACTGTAAGGTATGTGATTCCATAGATAGAAACATTGAACCTTTATGAGGTACATTATCTGAATATATACTGGAATAGTAATCAATGGTTAAGGCAATAACTGTATTATTTTATTATATGTCTTGTTCTTGTAGCCAATATAACTTGCGCTCTGATTGGCTAGTTGTAGGGCATCATTTTCCTGTAATGCCCATGGGCCGATTATGGGCTTGCAAAAACAAAGCAATAAGCCATATAATAAACAACATATTAACCTTGAACGTTCAATCTTAACAGGAAAATCTCAAACCTTGATCTTGCCATATTGACCTTGCTATCACTTGCTCAATACGGCAAAGTCTCGGTCTGAGATTTTCCCATAAAGACCTCACTTTTGGTTACCGGTAATAAGTAGTTAATATTAAGTGCAGTATATTCAAAGAATTAGCAAACTATGCAAAGCAATGTATTGCATAAGGAATGAAACTTGCATTCAAGTAACAGAAAAATTCACAGCAACAGATGTAGGCCTTTTAATTAGTTTTTGGATTGTCAGTTTTCAAGCTAATTTTACTTTCATCATGCTGCAGAATAAAAACTTCATTGTGCTACTGAGTGATCAAAGTCCAGGAGCTAAAATAGGACAAAAAAGTGCGGCAGTTGTAAACATAACAAATGGTAAGCCGATAAGAGCAGTGCTTACTGCAACTCCAACATGTCACTATTTTACGTACACTACCTAGAAAGACACACACAACTGTGTAGAAATAGGAACCTGCAGGAGCCTGGTCAGGCTTTTAGCCAGGATTTGAAAAGTGGACGTCCAAAGTGTGCTTTTATGGGGCTTGCTAAAATAAACAATTTATAGACGATTTATAAGGCGACATATGGAAAATAAAACAGTTAATTTCCTTTAATAAATGGCCAACCACAGGATACCTGGACGCCCATCTGGCTAAAAGCCTGCACCTAGTACATGTATGAGGTCCGTATTGGAGAAATATTGGTCAAGTTCAGTATTCTAATATACAAGACCAATCTTCTCCAATACAGACTGAACAAGCTAGACTTTTTAACAAAGGATAACTTATTAAAATTTATTGTACTGTTAAAAAAAAAAAAAAATAAAATGTCTATTAAAAAAAAAACAATAAACAAACAAAAAAATAATTTAATTAAAAATGGCTCTTTTTAATCGGCTAATAAAGTGGTGCATATCCGTGATCAATTCTTGGTTAAGGTGTGTGCAAGAGATAAGCATTTCTTTACGTTTCTCATGTTGCTTTTGTGAACATTCAACTGAAATTGTCCTCCAAACATGAAGGCGAAAATATTTCTACCAAAAAAACAATATTTTGTGCACTGAATTGAAAAGCAACTCGCCAAAATTAAATACTAAATGTGAGGGTGTTGCTTATAATTACAGTATCTTAGTGTGGTCTAATATTGCAAACTTTGGACTGCTGTCCATTTAAATGGACTAATGAAATTTTGAGAATTAAAAATTAATGATAAAATCTAAGCTCTCTTGATCTTACAAGTTTAAATGGCAGGACAGTGGAACTAAAGTACACTCCAGATCTTTTTAATGCAAAATAATGCGACTGTTATCATTTTGTAGATGTCGATAATATTGTTGAGCGTGTTGCAAACATCATGACTGCAGAAGATGAGCAAAGCCTCAGCAAAACTTGGAGAACACAATTTGAAGAGTAAGTAACTAAAGGCTAGTTGATAAAAAGCAAACTCAAGTGGACATTCTTCTCAGTTGTTCCCTTAAAAGGGTCCACACTTCCGTTTTTCTTTAGCACAAAGCATATGGGGGTATTAGACTTATATATCTTCTAGCACTCTATTGTGAATGGCATTCTCTTATTGGCTACACTACTTACTATAGCAGTGTGTGCTTGTTAAAAATCTGGTGACCACTTTATGTTTTCAAAGTTTCTGTGAAGTAGGAGGTAACGTTTTGAACAACTAGTGGATTTATATGAAAGCAAACAGATTATTCACCCTTGATTTGTATGGATTGCATGATACACAATGTAGTTGACTCGGGCTGTATCCTTATCTACTATCACGTAATTGAAATCTTGAGCTCATAATCTAATTATTGTTGAAGGATGCTAGTCCATTGCAGCTAATAATTGTTTGGGTTGCCTGCCTAGTGGACAATTTTGTAACTGGTACTGGTAACTGAAACTTATGGTTAACATATTTTCCTGTTGTTTTATCAGGGCGATGGTTATTCAAGGAGAAGAGGATGACCAAGGGAATGTAGAACCACTCAGCACCATGGATTTTTTGCTTCATTTTCTCACATTTTTCTGGAAAGTTTTATTTGCCTTTATTCCTCCAAGGTAATAGAAAGGAACTTTAAAATTAATAATTAATTAAGTAAGGTCAGTGAACCAAGGGGTCATATTGGAGTGGACATTTTTTTGGTAGTTTTCACAGAATAGTATACTGTTCACATGAGAGGACATCACAATCCTGTGAAATGAATTCAAAGTCTTCATAATGTACGTTTGACATACGCAATCTAATTCCTACTTGCGACATGATTATGCCAATGAAAGGACATCACATCCCTGCAGAATCAATTGTCTTCGCAACATGCATGCTAATTCTCGTTACATGTTTTCTTGTGTGTGTATTCATGATGTTGTCAGTGCCGTTGATATACATGTATGTTTTCTCTTGTATGAAGTGTATATGATTTTGTGGCTGGTACATGTCACTGTTAGTAATACGTCCCAGCAATATGACCCATTGTACATGTACTGACCTTTACAAAAGTCCACATTTAATATCATCCATGTAGTACTTGTGCTATGGCAGCTTGTGCTTGGAACCAGCAAAATTCCCTTGAAGAGAACATGAGATGATGGTCATCACTCACTCACTGGATGGATCATCTGGAACAATTAAGCTCTAAAGTTTTATTGAAAGCTTGTTATCGACACTGTACTGTTAACATTCGTCTATTTCAACATCCTCCTTGTGGCTTTCTGGCTCCTTATGACTTCTGTTTTGAAGGTCCTTTCATTTGAAGCTGTATGCATTTCTACACCAAAAAACATTAAGTCAAATTAAGTCAAATTACTAATAGTCAAATTAGGGGGATGGTTAGGTGGTCAGGGCTTATCTAGTAGGGGACCTAGTGTTCTTTTGTATGTCCACCTGCCTCATGGCAAATCTTTAAAATAAAGTAAAAAAATACCCCTGAGTTGTTACAGTACTATGACTGAGGCCACTTAACTAAATTCTTTGCAAATCAATTGACCACTGGCATTTTAAGTTTTAAAAAAGTTGCTAATCAAAATGACCACAAATCTGTTGTCTTTGTAATGTACAGCTTGATTATGTGCCTTGGATAATTTGTTGGAAAACTATTGCTAACCTTCACGATTTTTGTGCGTTGAATTTGTAGAAAATTTTGCCAGATGGCCTTGGTTAGAGTAGTCTAACTGTAATCCTAAAAAAACTTCACCTCTTGTTAATCCAGGTCAGAGCACCTTGAATTATTGCGTCAAATGTGGGAACAAAACTTGATATATTCATTGACAACCATTTGATATGAATATCAAATGTTGGTTTGTGATGATTCCAATAAACATTTCATAGTATTAAACCTGTATGTTTGACTGTGAATTTGATTTGATTTGCACAGGAACTGTCTTGGAGGATGGCCAGCATTTGTAGTTTCTCTGTTAGTCATAGCAGGGCTGACTGCTCTTGTTGAACAGGTAATTTTGGTAATTACCTTCCAGGTTAATCTCCTTGTGGGCATAAATTTACCTATAAGTGTAATTCAATTTAGTGTGCCAAATGCCAAAATTATTTTTATTTTAGAGGGATCACAGGTGGCACAGTGGTGAGAGTGCTTGCCTCCATCCAATGTGGCCTGGGTTTCATTCTGGCTCGTTGCCGTATGTGGGTTGAGTTTGCTGTTAGTTCTTGCCTTGCTCTGGGGATGCTCCCAGGGTTTTTTTGCCCTGGCTCTCTGGTTTTCCTCCCTCCTGAAAAACCAACAAATGTTTCCAGAGTCCAATTTGATCATGATGAAAACCAGTTAAAGTTGATGTGGCTTCTTCTTTGAATATCTTGTAATTTATTTTTAATTTGTCCCCTTTAAGCTTTGCCACTCATAGTCAAACAGATTTTAAGAAGTAAATTTGACAGTTACTTTTCATCGTGTTATCAGAAATTGATTTAAAAATATCTGCTTTACATATATCTTTATAACTGTTCCCTTTCACAGCTTGGCAAACTGTTAGGTTGCGTGGCTGGTCTTAGGAACAGCGTTAGTGGCATCACCATCATTGCCATTGGCACCAGTTTACCAGACACCTTTGCTAGTCGCAGTGCTGCATTACATGATATTGGTGCAGATGCTTCTATTGGAAACATTACAGGTTTGTGTAGTCCATTCCATAAATATAACAACATAACAAGTTATTCCTGGCCAAAAATTATCTTCAACTGAACCTTTGTTGTGTCATCACCATTCAACCCAAGCTGTTTATTGAGAGCAAGTGCATCACCTGTGATGCAATAGGTTTTCAGTCTGTACATGTAATGATGTATATGAGCCAAGTGGCCTATCTGGACAGTGCTTATCTCCAGATTCATTAGCATGAAGCAACTACAGTGTAGGAGTATTTCTACTCCCTGCTGGATGGGATGCTAGTCCGTAGCAGGGTTACCCCCAGCATTAAATTCGCCATTACCCATTTAAATACACCTGGGTGGAGAGAGGCACTGTGAGAGTAAAGTGCCCTGCCCAAGAACACAACACAATGTCCCTGGCCAGGGCTTGAACCCAGACTGCTTGACTCAGAGGTGAGTGCACTAACCATGAGTCCACTGTGCCTCTCATCCGCAGTGCAATGCAAATGGTTATCTCTTGATTACTTTTCTCCCAAAATTTGTAATCATTTTCCAGCTTGTAGTTTGCCAGCATAATGCAATTCTGTATAAAATTTATATTACAGTTAATATGGTTTAGTTCAACTTCAAGTAAGTGGAGGTCTCTTTAAANCAGTCCGTCTGGTTCTTAGATCACATCTAAGTTTACCTCACTGGTTCTTGCCCATTTTCTTTATCCTCGTTGAAAGAATTTCTCTCCAGATCAAGAGAATCGTGCGAATCGCACAACTGCTTCATTCTGGTAAATGACATACATGTACCTGTCATAACAAAGAGAAGTTATGCGAGCAGCACTAGGGCTGGGTATAGTTTGAGATATGATCCCATTGCATGACTAGCTTTAATGAAATGCGGTGGCAAGACCAAAGGCTGTGGAAGGTCTGAGTGACACTTGAAATGGAAAAACAAGGATTGCTGATGTACATTATTGATATTATTTATCATCTAACAAAGAGCTGCGAAACATTGAATCAACATGTCTGTATGCGTGTGCATTTATCCAAGCTCACCATCAGGATTGTGGTTTCATGGCTGCACTGTATACTCTGTCAAGAAACATTGAAACCAATTCAACCTGAACATAAATACGTAAGAAATTAAACTTGCATCATCAATCACAGGTAGTGGATGCATGGATGCTGGATTACAAGTCTGTGATTGTCAAGATGATAATGGAAGGTCTATTTTCTTCTACTCTCACTACTGGCATACAAACGTAACTTAATAAGAGCAACCTTAAACAATATACATTGTAAATACAATGGTAGCAAAATAATGCAAAAATAATATTATTGTTCTCATCTAAGAGTGGATATAGTTCTATTAAGATTTCACACTTCATTTATCCCTGTATGTGACTGAACTGGCATCAGTTAAAGTGTATAACAATAATGTTATCAATAATAATATTATTTAGAAGTCACAGATTGAATCTGTTTAAGAATATCTCTCCAAATAATTATATGCTTAATTCATGCCTCTTGAACTTTACCGATATTCCATTCAACTTAGGGAAATTATCTTAGTGTATAGCTTTGGAAAATATTTTTTATCTCGGAGATATTTGTATTATATCATCATCAACAGCTGTTGGGAGAACAAACAACAAACTACAGTTATTGTAAATAGTGTACTTGAATCAAGGTCTTCACTTGGCACACAATTTTATCAGCTTAGGATCTTACATGCACTCAGTATGATGCTGCAATGAAAGATCTTTACTTCTGATAATCCATCACAGCAAGAATTGATGCCTGTTTAATTACTGCAGGTTATTTTGTCCTGCGACTGCCAAAAGCTGAAAGATATTGGATCAGAAACACATACATAAAATGGAGTGCGAATTTGTTGCTAAGACTATATATTGGGAAGAATATCTCTAATTGCATTGATGAATTTTATTTATAATAATGCAACAAAATTTGCTTTGTTTACGAAGGCTGAATAGATAAATTTCAAGTTTGCTATTTAACACAGTATTGACTATTTATTGAAAAGAAAAAGAGAAAAAAGAAAAGAGAGGCAAAAAAAAAGAAAAGAAAACAGTAGTATAAGCAAAGAAATTTTTATTTTGATTGGTGTCATGCCATTTCATGTTTGTGAAGTGTGCTAAGGTTTACTATGAATTTACAGCTTCAAGAAGTGCTTTGGCAGCTTGTCTGGTCTAACACAGGAGTTTCATTAACGGTATCAGCAGAAGGGCAACTGGTTTTCACACGCAGGCAAAACATTTGGAACTGAACTTCTTTATAAGAAAAACTTTCCTCTAGATGGTCAAACCAGGCAGGCAAAATCATCCTCACAGCTGGTCAATTTGCCCGATGCCGGCCCTTAATGAAACCGCTGTGACAACTCAAGTGAACATAATGGCCAGAAGATGCCCACAAATAAAGTGGTAGATTTTGTTCATGAACTCTGATCTAATATTTTTATGAAATGTTGATCATGATCTTATGTTGGTTGCATAGTCATTTTGCATGATGCATTTTATTCACTTTATTTGGTAAGAAAACGAAGTAGAAAATGGCCCCTGGTTTCTTTTAAGGAAAGTTTCCAGGGAGAATGTAACCCCCCTTGGGGGGGACTCCCGTATGAAAAGGACAGGGATGCTCCTCATAAATTTTGAAAAGAACCCCTAAGAGCTACCAAGATCCTGTTTTGTGGGTGTGGTTTGAAATTTTTTTCAACCTTATAAGAGGTACCAATAATAAAAAAAAAAAACACATCAACTGACACTGACTTTTTTCTGCTCAGTACCCTAACAGGTACAGCAAAAGCTTGTGCTGTGGACCTCTTGAGCCTGAACACCCCAAGAGGTAGCAAAACTGCTTTTTTTTAATCCCTAAAAGGTACAAGCACCCCCGCCCTTTTTATATGGGAGTCTCCCAGGAATGTAACAGTTTAATTTGATTAAAAAGCTTGGATGCAAGACCAAGACCGCCTTCCCTGTTTTTACCAGGCAGTGTTTACAAGTTACACGTGTGCCATTTTCTGTTTCTTAATTGAAATGGAGTGAGTGGAGTTGTTGCAACGGGCTGATGCACATATGTACTTCATTGTAAATCACTGCTAGCTGGTATTGTTTCAATGTAACTGTTCGTGTCGTGTGATGGCAAAATATTGGTAGCCAATCAGATGCTACACTGCTGGTTGTGTGACACATCCGGCTGTACTGCAGCCTAAATATTGGCGGTTTCATTGTTTTGCCATTGTGCAAAAAGAACTATCTACTTTCACAGTCATGTAATCACATCCAACAGCTGACATGTATGTAATAATTTTATTACTTAATCAACAACATGTGAGTAGAATGCTGTTGGCTAGGTAATAGTGGTATTTTAGAAAGTATGATTCTAAGATACAAACACTAACTTCAACTTATCATTTTCAATCAAATCTCAGACTTTCATTGAGTTTCTACCGTTCTCCCTGAATGAAAAAAATAAAAAAAAATTCTTGTCTCCATTAAAATATAAGTTGTTGAAAACATAAACACAGAGACCATTTTACATGTAAATTAGTCTGACGCTTACATGTAAGTGTGTAGAACAATGTTTAGAGTTGTGTTTTTAGAGTGAAAAAGTAGAAATAAAATAAATAAGACCAATGCCTTTGTTTTATTCCTTTGCGTTGTCACTAATCTATTCTTCAGCTCACGATTTACATAACTGTGGCTTGCGGCTTGAAGAATAGACTCTTCTTATGCTGTTACTCTTACAACCTTCCCTGACTATCAGGGCTATATGCTAGGACATAATCTAACGATTTGACTTGGGTCCTCTTCACTCCTCTGAAGGACATCCGAGTGAGTCTGAATTTGGGAGCAGTTTTCCATTAGTTAACAGTCAGGAAGTGGAAATTGATAGTACTTTGCACTGGATTTTTAGAGGAACAAACTATTAATTTTACTGGCAACCTCACCCCTGGTGCTGAACAGCATTCAACATACTCTAAAATTGAACTGACAGATGTAGTTTTACAGACTCATGGGGCTGCCTATTTTTAAATTTTAATTGCAGTTTTAGGACTAAAATTATTGAGTTTTACAATGGAATTCCTCACTACAACAAGGCAAAAGGTAAAGTCTGCATCAGGCCAAACAGCTCATACAGGCTCACCCCCTCCAGCATAAAATTAACTGGAACTAATTTATATACCTGGGTGGAGAGAGGCACT